CCTGAGATGTCCCCAGAGAGGTGGCGTCTGATACCCAACCTGACATATAGACACAGACATACAGGCACACAGAGACACAAACATCCATTCCCATGGATATGTCAAGTTGACTAGTAGGACAGTGAAACGTTACTGCCATGTAAGGATGTCAGTAGAGTTCATTAACTGGATGACTGGAAGATGGGAACATACTGTACCATCAGTAGCACTTATGAATCTGTAGTTGTTTCTGTTCTCTGGATATGATCCATCAAGTCTGTGTTTAAATACACAGTTGCCACCCTGGACATTGTGTTGAGTAATTCACCGGCTACTAGGAGATGATTAACAGCATCTTTGATCAGGACCAGGGAGCGCAGCAGAAATCCAAACAACCTCTACACTTTAAAGGGCTAAAGAACTGTCCATTTTAATTCCACTGTTTCCTGGGATTTTGCTAGATATATGCGGGTGGGGACAAAAAAAGAGGCCTTTTTCTTGAAGTCAGGCCTTATGACAAACTAACATTTTTAAAATCCCATATTAGCTGGCTTTGTGTTGGCTTGACATGACTAAATCCAGATTATAGATGTCGTGGCCTTCTAAATCGTTCCATGGTGTGCCCAGAAATCATGTCGTTTCTAAGACAGCTGTGCTGTAGTTATTTGTAACCAAAATTAAATCCTTCTAGCACATAATTAGATTTTTCTTCCAAGTTGCCTACTGTCAGAGTAAGGAAAAATACCATCACAACCAGTAGAAACTACTACTTGAAGTGGTTTTCATTGAAAATTAAATTGATGGGGTCAGATTTAAAAAAAATCACAATCAATGTCACATATCATTATGAATTCACATAAACCATTTCCAAAAGAGGCCTGAACACTATATTAAATGTAGATTTAAAAAAAAAAATCATCTCCTCTCACAGACAATGTAAAAAAAAAAAAAGAAGTTGAAGTTATTTATTTTTCATTTTATTTATTTTTCATTTATAGTATTATTTGATTAGTTTATTAGTATTATTAGTTGCCATGGCAGTTACATTTTGAATCATTTTCCCTTTATTATTAATTTATATAGGATTTCAGCTACTTAACGGTTCTTTGTTTTATTTTTCTTTTCATAGTCCATCAATTTAAAACCTGAGCTGTGCCACTGTAAAGGTGCTGAAAGTGCTTTGATATTATCTTGCTAAAATAACCAATCTTTCCTGAAAAGGATGGGATTATATGGAGGGCAACCTATGGTGCAATTCAAGTATGAATATATGAACAATAAAAAGAAATCCTTACAGTCTAGCATTAGTGGTGCCTTCACAAATGTGAAAGTTGCCTATGCCATGTGCACTATTGCACTCACATATCCACACAGATGGCTTTTGAAATATGAACTGATAAAAAGCAAAATTGAATAAAATCAACTGCCTTGTCGTACAAGATGGCATGAAGGAGTAGCAGCTAACATTATCACTGTTATCGTTCATCCACGGTATCATACTCCAGGAGAAAGTGATCTGGGAGTTAATTTTGCGTTCTCTGCTTGCTTGTTTGTTTTGCCTTGGTCAAAATGTTTCTGCATTTACTTTTAATTGGTTATTCTAATTCGGCCGTGGTAGCATCACCATGGCAGTTAAGAAAATGTAGTTGATTAGACTTCCATAAAGGTAGCACTTTAACCTGGGTCTCTGTAAATAAATTTTGGGTATTCATGCTCACTGACACACACCTTGCTAGTACCACGTTAGACTCTTTTTGTCTTAAGAACTGCCTAGCAATGTTTGTGCAGGAAAATCCCAGTGGATCTGTAGTTTCTAAAATACTCAGACCAGTCCGCCTGGCATTAACAGCCATGCCATGTACAAAGTCATTTAAATGAAATTTTGTCATCATGTGATGTTCCATTTGAATTTGTTCCTGAGCCTGTGTAGTGGTCTTTGTTATTAAAAGTGTGATTTAATGCAGTCCCACTTTAGTGTTCTAAAGTCACAGCCATTCAGTATGAATGTATGATTTTTTTGTACAGACTGATCCTGACTCTTTCCGTCTTCATTATTATTTATGTACAAGGCAAAATCCCAGGGTTCTTTTGTTTCACATCAAAAATTGTCAGTAAGTTATGGACCAATTTGTCCAATCTGCTAACATATGAAAGAATTCCTCCAAAATCAACACTACATTTGAGATGTTGCATTAAATTGAAGATGCAGTTTAAGGGATGTGCAAATCAGTGTGTTGCTTTTATTTACATTTCAGAGAGCATCCGAAGATTTTTTGGAAAATGTTTAACAACAGCTTAAGAAAGAAAATCCACTTTAAGTATAGAGGGAGACAAAGATTCAAAAGACATGATCAGAATTCACGTTTAATGTTTGAATAATGGCTATGTAACAAAAAGGCTTTTTAGACATGCTTTACAGAATGTACAGGAAACAAGGTAAAAAACAAAAAGCAGCATTGGATATTGCCAGAGCAGTTACTGCTAAACTTTGGTATAAAGTCATAAAGGGCATTTCAGAAAACAAAACAAATGCACATTATTTTGCGTTAATGCGTTGGTGAAAAGTATTGAACACTGAATTGATTTCGGCCTCCCAGATATGTAGCTTCATTAGGATAACTTATCGCAGTGAGTTTTCATTTAAATTTTTGTATCGCTTAAGAGGGGCATGAAATTGACTTTGACCAACGGTCAGGGAACATCGACACACAAATGTGCCACCACCGAAAAAAAGAAATGTGGAAAAAATAGAAAAAATACAGAGGGGCCGGGAAAGTTGATGCCAATAACAGTTGATGTTATTCAAAGGAATTTATAGGAATGTGCGGGTAGAAGAAAGTGGAAACAAAATACAATTCATGTCTGCACGTACCAGCAAGGAGGTGAAGTTCTTGGAAAATATTAATCAATGCATTTTTGAGAAGTTACTGATGACACATAAATTAGATATTCTGACATTACATGGAAGACACAGCATCAAGCTACATTACAATGCGCACGGTAGATGAACTTTTTACTTTG